TTTGTGGTTCGTAATTATTTATTTGTAGCTCCGTAGTAGAAACTCGACATTTATTATTGTTATTGTTGTATTCATTGGGAGAGATAGAGAGAGAGAGAACATGTCTTATTGTATTTCTATTACTCATGGGTAATAGATATATATAAAAAAAAAAAAAATGGACCTAAATTATAGGCTTTGGTAATGTTTCCGATTAATTAAAATGTTGGGACGTGACAAGAAGATTCATAAACAATATATATATATATATATATATATATAAATAAAATATATTAAAATGGACCCACAATCCCCCACTCATTTTAATATTAACAAGGACAAGAGAGATTACCAAACAAAGATAGACTAGTATGCATCATGAAAGTGTGCTCTGCATTGAACCTTCATTTGTGAAACAACAACCTTTACTCCAGAGTCAGTAGTGGTCTCAGACTTGAACTATGACTACTTAGGGAAAATAAAGTATTACTGCTCACACATAATAATCCAGGTATTGACATGAGCTTTTAATAGCCAGCACATTACGGCCTTGTGCTAATCCCAGTTTTCATGAGCATATTTGAAAATGAGCCTTGTTCTCATAGAAAGCGGCCCCACTTTCATGCTCACATAGGTGAAATTTGCCACGAATGTTCCTGTAATTTACACACCCCATTCAACAAGAGCTACAAAATTTCATTAAGAGTATAAAAACTCAACCCTCCAACATTACAGGACAAATGCACTAACATCATAGAGATGGACAACAAAATATTAAGGAGTGCATTTTTTACAACCACCATATGATTCGTTCTTTCCATTGAACCTAGTTACAGGATCTCTGGTCCCTAGGGTGGGTATCCTCATACATGGTTTATGATTTTATAGGCTTCAAACCCATCCCCCTCGATGTATTTCAGACCCTATCTCTCGCCAAGGTCTCGGTTAACGGATCCGCAAGATTATCACAAGATCTTACATAATTCACAGTTATGATACCATTACTCAAATAGGATCTCACATTACTGTGTTTCCTTCGAATAGGTCTGGATTTACCATTATAAAAATGGTTGTTCACTCTACCAATAACAACAGTGCTATCACAACGAATTAACACAGGAGGAATTGGTTTTTTTCCAAAAGGGGATTTCATGTAACAAATCTCTCAACCAATTTGCTTCCTCACATGCTGAAGCTGCGCTATAAGTTTAGCTTCCATAGTAGAATTAGCAATTATAGTCTATTTTTTAAACTTCCAACATATAGCACCACCACCCAAGGTAAAAATAAAACCCGAGGTAGAGAGAGAATCACCTGACAAAGTGTTCCAATCAGCATCACTATATCCCTCAAGTACCGCAGGATACTTGTTATAAAACAAACCATAATCTTTGGTACCAGATAAATATCTCATAATTCTTTCCATGGCTAGCCAATGATCTCGACTTGATTTGTTAGTAAACCTGCTAAGTACTCCAATAGCATATGCAATGTCAGGTCTAGTACAGTCAGTAGCATATCTCAAACTACCAATCATGCTAGCATATTCCTTTTGATTAATCACTTATTTTTCATTTGTTACAACAGATAAATGTACGCTTACATCAAAAGGAATAGCAACCTGTTTACACTCTAGAAAGTTATATTTTTTTAAAATTTTCTCAACGTAATGCGACTGATCAAGAAAATACCATCATTAGTCTTGGTAATTTTAATTCCCAAAATAAAATTGGCTTCACCAAGATCTTTCATATCAAAGTGGTTATTAAGCATATTTTTAGTCTCATTTATAATATGCAAATTAGAGCTAAAGATAAGTTGATCATCCATATATAGGCTAATGATCACATGTGCATTCTCACAAATTTTATAATATATGCACTTAGCACATTCATTAGTCTTATAGCCATTCTCAAGCCTGCAGGAATCAAATTTCTCATGCCACTGTTTAGGAGCTTGTTTTAAACCATAAAGGGATTTAGTTAGCTAACACACCTTGCTTTCTTGGCCAGGCTCCACAAAGCCTTCGGGTTGGTCTATGTAAATCTCCTCATCTAAATCTCCATTTAAAAATGTTGTTTTTACATCCATTTGATGAATTTTTAAATCATGAATTGCAGCTACTGCTATCAACAGTCTAATGGATGTAACTCTAGTAACCAGAGAAAAAGTATCAAAGAAATCAAGATCAACTTGTTGATTAAAACCTTTAGCGACAAGCCTCGCTTTATATTTATCTATAGTTCCATCTGGTTTAAGTTTTTTATGAAGGACCCATTTACACCAAATAGTTTTATAACCTGGAGGTAAATCCACTAGCTTCCATGTTTTATTTGAAAGTAGTGAATCTATCTCATCATTTACAGCCTCTCTCTAGAAAATAGCATCAGGTGATGATAAAGGTTCTTGCACTATAAGAGGAATTTCTTCCACATTGTAAAGATAATAGTCAGGGCCAAAATCTTTTTCAACTCTAGCTTGTTTACTCCTCCTTGGTTGGATTTGAAAATTTTCTTGTTCTTGAAAAACTTGAGATGGAGTAGAAGAGCTAGGTATGGATACAATATTTTCAGAAATTATTTGACCCCCACTATTTCTAGATTTGAAAAGAAATTTGTTCATGAAAAATAGCATCACCTGATTCAAAAATAATATTATTTTCCATATCAAAAAATCTATAAGCTGTACTATGCAACGCATATCCAAGAAAAGCATAGGTGGTAGCTCGTTCACCCAATTTAGGTCATTTAGGATCTGCAAACCTCACAAAAGCTAAACATTCCCAAACCCTCAAATAACTTAAATTTGGTTTATGCCCCCGTCACAACTCATAAGGTACAATTTTAGTCTTTTTGTGTGGCACTCTATTTATCACTTGGCAAGTTGTCAAAATAGCTTCGCCCCAAAGATTTGAGGAAGCACCTGAATCAATAAGCATAGCATTCGTCAAGTTAATTAACGTTCTATTTTTTTTTTAGCTACGCCATTAGATGAAGGTGAATATGGTGGAGTAGTCTCATGAATAATTCCCAATGACTGAACAAAAGAGTTGAATCCAAGAGATTCATAATCTCGGCCTCTATCACTTCTAATTTTCTTAATCTTTTTACCTAATTAATTTTCCACTTCAAGAAGGAATTCTTTAAATTTCTTAAAAGTATCACTTTTATTTTTTAATAAATATACGTTTGTGTATTTTGAAAAGCCATCAATAAAAGTGATAAAATATCGATTACCGCCCCGAGTTAAAATTCCTTTAAACTCACACAAATCAGTATGAAATAATTCTAGCAATTCGGTATTTTTTTCAACATTTTTATAAGGCCTCTTGGAAATTTTCACTTTACTGCAAACTTCACATTTCTCATAATTTTTTGTCACTTTAGGAATTAATCCTAAACTACTCATGATTCCCACATATTTACTGTTAATATGACACAAGCGAGTATGCCAAAAATTAATAGAAGACAAAGTGTAAGTAGTGTCATAGTAATAATCATAAAATTAATCAGCAAGGAAATTTAAGAGATAAAAGCGACATTTATACTCATATGTATTGTAGGAAGCCACTTTTGCTTCATGTGCCTCATAGTCTTCATCATTCATCTCCTCGGTTAGTATTTTGTTTGGGTTCTTCTCGGTAAGAACATATGCAACTTTCAAAAGGCTGAGGTAAAAAAGAACATTTCCTTTCCACCTCTTAAAATGAACTCCCTTGAACTTGAAAGGCTTGTTGAGATCTTCAATTCCATCATTGGTTTTTTCTGGTACTTGTTCCATGTTTGATCTCCTTAAAATTGTTGGTGAAAATACCAGAAAAAATTATATTTTATTGATAAATAATGCACAATAAAATGAGATACAAATAGATCAAGCTGAGACACAGATATCTCGTTTTCTTTAAGGAGATCAAGCCCATTGCGGTAGGAAAAACCAAAATACCGATGCAGCAGTCACAAAACTATGACTTGTCCCCTCTAGGATACAACAGCCTAATCACTTGTCGTATGGTTCAGGCCAACTCTGCACAAGATGGTGAACCCAAAGTTCCACCAAGAAAAACACCCTTCTTTGCTAGTAATTTCTCTTGTATAAAAAATAGTTTATGTGTTGGTAAAGAAAAAAGTAGATGAGAGAAACTATTTATGGGTCATTAGGACCTTACAAATTACACCAAAATAATGATGATCATTAAATTAGAGAAAATGGAGAGACTCCAAATAATAACTCACCACCAAGTTCATGAATTCTAATTAATCTCCATTCATGAATAAGACAAAAGGTCACCACAACAATGAATTTCCATTCATGAACAAGATGAGATTCATGAACAAGACAAAAGAAGATTCATAAACAAAAATATATATATATATATATAAATAAAAAATATTAAAATGAACCAACAACCCCTACAACAAAATGCACTTTTGGCGACTAAAAAAATTTAGTCGCTAAAAGTTGTGTAATTGGCGACAAAAAATAATGTTAATCGGCAAAAGTCGAAAATTTAGCTCCTAATTTTTTTTAATCGGGGAATATTGATTATTGACAACCAAAAAAATTCAATAGCTAAAATTATCACAATTGGCAACTAAAAAAAAATTTAGTCGCTAAAAAGATCACAATTGGCGACTAAAAAAAATTTTAGTAGCTGTATAGTTAGTTTTGACTACTAAAATTGTTTAGTAGCCGAATGAAAAAAAAATAATAATAATTTATATTTGGCGACCAAAAGTATATTTTCAACGACAAAAGAATAATTTAGTAGCCATATAGTTAGTTTTAACTATTAAAATTGTTTAGTAGCCAAATGAAAAGAAAAAGAATATTTTTTATTTTTAGCGACCAAAAATTTGGTCGCCAAAAGTATATATTTTCAGCGATAAAAGAATATTTTAATTGCCAAAAAACTAAAATATTTGGAAGAAAATTTTAAATTTTGGAAAAATTAAAAATTTAATTAGCCATTGAAATATTTAGTCGCCAATTATTATTAATTATTCGACTACTGTCAATCCTCTCCCATTTCACTCTCTCATCATCCCTCTTCTCTCTCTCTCTTTCTCTCTGTTTCTGCTTTGTTTTCTATTTATGTTTTGCCTTCATTGTTAATTAGCCCTAATTTATATACATAACTCTCTCTTTTTCTGATTTTGTTTTTTCCCAATGTGATTCTTTACAACCCATTTCTCACCCTGAACTTCTCTTCCCCTCTCACCATTGATTGTTGGGTTATGTGTATGTATAGGTGGAGTGACATCTATGTCATTTTTGAAGTTCTTTCCATCTGTGTACGAGAAACAAAAGGCGGATAGTTCGACGAACCAGTACTGTAAATTTGACAGTTTTACTCTCACTTTGTTCACTTTATCTCTGTACTTGGCTGCTCCGTTGTCCTCGCTCGTTGCATCAACGGTGACCAGAAAAGTGGGCAGAAAGTTGTCGATGCTGTTCGGAGATGTACTGTTCTGCGTTGGAGCTCTCGTCAATGGGTTTGCTCAAGCAGTCTGGATGCTAATTGTTGGTCGTATTTTGCTTGGTTTTGGTATTGGATTTGCTAATCAGGTAACTTGCTTTCTCTTCTGGAATGCTTGTTTGTTTTCTGATCTTGTTTTGTGCAAGGGTGTTCTATTTTTGGATCAAGAGATTCGCAATGTTTACTCATATCTCTAGAACTGGTATTTTCATCACCCATTTTACCTACAAAATGTTTACTAAGGTGACCTTTACAATTTAGGACATAAGTAGTCAAAGTAGCATCAGGTAAGCTTCTGTGATGGCCAATGATAGTCCTTCAGTTCCATTCATCTCCTATTTCAATATATTCTCAACCATTAAATTATATAAAAACTTTGAAGTATGATTCAATTAGGAACTCTATTGTGCAAAGTGTTTTTGTGTTAATAATAATTCATTTTAAAGTGTAGAATGCTTCCAAGTTCCACCTCTGTTAACTCAACAGTCAACACTCATGTTTCAAAACTGATCCTTTCTAAAAACACTACAAAGTTCGCATTCTTTTAAAACATTATTTGATTCTTTCAAGATTTTTTGTGGGTACAGGTACTTCCCTATCACAGGCCCAATTTCGGGTTCTTCTCGCAATTCTTCGTCTGCTTTGACTTCATATTCTTCTATCCAAGTCCAATCTGGTAATTTCATTAATTATCCAATTTCATACTTGTATTTTTGAACTTGATCATGATACCAATTTGCCTATATATATGTCTGTTTTGTGATTGACTGTTAAAAAATAGCAAAAGCTCAAATTTTTCCTCTTCAATTGCTAGCTAAATAGCTCAACAAAGTTGGTCAGAATCATAATTTTTTTCTTGCCTTCAAACTGTTTGATAAAATGTCTCTTAAGCTTCTCAAAATTCTAAGCCACAAGCCTAACTTATTGGCAGTGTAATTGTTGCTCAAACATGTACTAAATCAAGCCCACAACAGTTCCAAATCTTAATCTATTGAAGCCACTGCTTGCATATTCAAAAATCTTAATCTGTTATAATCTCAAGGTTATCAATCCTTTAAGATCATGTATACTATATCTCATGTTTGGAATGACCTTGGATTAAGAGGGGAGATTAATACAGTTCTATCGTATCTCATATTTGTTTGGAAGCATTATCTATGAACTACTTAGTGTAAAACACCCTTTTGGACCCATCCTCTATTTGGGAATCGATAATTCCCCATATGGGGATATACCATATTTTGATGGTACTAATCCGAAGCTTAATTTTCCATCCATATGGGGCAGAGACTAGTGTGGTAAAGATCATCAATGGCTAGAATGGAGAGGTATATAAGAGTTGATTTGCAGCCAAGAGGACTTGAACATTATTGAAATGGATAGGTGAGTGATCCTTATGTGATGAGGGATGTTTATGGATTCTCTCTCTCTCTCTCTCTGCATGTGTGTGTGGATAAGTATATCAATTTTATTGGGAGGAGTGGTGCCTAGAGCAAAAGAGGGAGAATTTGTGCCTCTAACGAATTAGTGAGGTTGGCTGGTCTTCTTAGAAGCTAATTACTAGTTTTTTTTCAGATTTTTAATTTTGCAAGAGAAGATAGTGTCCTGTTTCCTTATGTTGATTGTGTTATTATATCTCACTAGCATACGTGACAAAATTTCATTCTTGAAATGCAGTACTGATCTCAAGCTCCCATGTAATTCTCTATGTGACTTTCTTGTAATAAGAATTTAATTAAGCCAGAATTCTGCTGAAACTAGACTTATATTCTAGATGCATATTTAACTCCTCAGGACATAATTGTTGGGGTATATCTCCTTATTGGAGTTTAAGACCCAATTGGTTTGTTAAAGAATTTTAATTTGGTTTGGTTTAGGCGTAATATATTTTTATATATTATATTTAATTTTGTGGAGACCCAATTCAATTTAGGTACAACTAGGGTTTTGATAAAACAAAACCAAGATTTAACAATATATATATATATATATATTGTTCCGAAGTGCTACATAGAGAGATACAGTTTTTCATTCATCTCAGTGACCGGGCGTGTTGATATTCCAATTTGGTGCTTGGTCAGTGCTTTGGATTTGATTTGTTGATGCTTTGCTATCTTTGATTCGAAGCTGATTTGGTTCGTTATTTTGGGTCTTCTATAACTTTGGTTTCGAAGATTTTGATTCATCTATTTGGTGAGGTCTTTCCTCTTATTTATTTGTGATTATTTGTAATTCACCTGAGGGTGGTTTTGTGAGACTATTCGTGTCTCGTTTGTAATCGTTTGGAAACGTATTTGGTTGATAGTGGAATCGGATTTCGATCCCGTGGACGTATCTCACATTGAGGGAACCACGTAAAAATTCTTGTGTTGCTTTTGATTTAATTTTTTCGCATTAATTTTTATTCCCATTAATTGATTTACTTGTGGGGAATCATATATTTTCCCTAACAACTGGTATCAGAGCTTACGGTTTATTTGGGTTTAATTATTTGTGTAAATCAATGGAGGGGAATGTGGGTCGTATGTCTAGCTTCAATGGAAGTAATTGGGTAACTTAGAAAATTAAAATGGAGGACCTATTATTTTGTAAAGATTTGTATGGGCCTATTGAGGGTGATAGTGGCAAACCTGATGATATGAAAGATGATGAATGGAAGAGGCTTAATCGAAAAGCCGTTGGTGTTATCCGTCAATGGATTAATGACAGTGTGTTTCATCATGTTGCTACTGAAACTTCAGCACATGATTTATGAAAAAAATTAGAAGGCTTTTATGATAGGAAATCAACCACAAATAAAGCTTTTCTGTTTCGTAAGTTGGTTAATTTAAAATATAAAGATGGCAGTCCAATTCCAGAACATTTGAATGAAATAAAGAGTATTGTTAACCAACTTGCTTTTATGAAAATTATTTTTGATGATGAGTTGTAGGCTTTGATGCTACTTAGTTTTTTGCTCGAAAATTGGGAGACTTTGGTTGTGACGGTTAGTAATTTGGCACTTGATGGAGTTGTCACAATGAGCCAAGTTACTAGTAGCTTGTTGAATGAAGAGACTAGAAGAAAATCAGCGGGTTTCTCTCATTCGAAAGCATTTGTTATGAGAGGCCGAAGCAAAACAAGGGGGAGGAGTAAGACTCCTCATGGTCGTGATCAAAGCCGTGACAAATCAAGAGATGGTTCTTCTTCAAAGAAAGACATTGAGTGCTATTATTGCCATGAGAAAGGGCACATGAAGCGAGAATGCCGAAAGCTCAAGAACAAAGAGAAAAGGCGTGACAAAAGTGTGGATAAGAAGTAAGAAGACACAACGACAGTTACTACCGATGATCTCATGGTCGTTTGTGAAGATGATTGTATCAATTTTGTAGGCCAAGAGAGTAATTGGGTGATTGATTTCGGTGCTTCTTTTCATGTGATTTCTCGAGTTGATTTCTTCACTACCTACACTAAAAGAGATTATGGTTCTGTTCGAATGGGTAATGAAGGTTTGTCCAATATTATTGGCATGGGTGATGTTTGCTTGAAAACAAATTTGGGCTACAAGTTGTTGCTTAAAGATGTGAGGCATGTTCCCAACATTCGCCTCAGTTTGATCTCTACTGGGAAGCTAAATAATGAAGGCTTCAACAACAAATTTGATGGTGGAATATGGAGGCTCACAAAGGGTTCTTTGGTGGTAGCTAAGTGCAAAAAGACTTATACACTTTATTCAATACAAGGAAAAATTTGTAAAGGTGTTGTCAATGCACTTGAAGATGATACTTCTATCGAATTGTGGCACAAGCGGCTTGGCCATATGAGTGAAAAGGGGCTGCAAGTTTTGTTCAAGAAAGAGCTTCTACCCGGTTTGAAAGGTACACATCTTAAAACTTGTGTTCATTGTTTGGCGGGTAAACAACATAGAGTTTCTTTTCAGCAAAATGTTACTTCTAAAAAAGAAATGTTTTGGAGTTGATTCATTCGGATGTTTGTGGTCTTTTAAAAGTTAGAACACATAGTGGTGCACTTTATTTTGTTACTTTCATTGATAATTATTCAGGGAAAGTTTGGACTTTTCTACTAAAAACTAAAGATCAAGTTGGAGAAGTATTTAAGCATTTTCAGGCCATGGTTGAATGAGAAACAGGGCATAAATTAAAGTGCATCCGATCAGACAATAGTGGTGAATACATTGGGCCATTTGATGAGTATTATCGTAGCCAAGGTATTCGGCACCAAAAGACAGTTAAGAAGACTCCTCAACAAAATGGCGTTGCTGAGATGATGAACCGCACCATTGTGGAAAGAACAAAGTATTTACTTTCACAAGCTAAATTGCCAAGATCATTTTGGGGTGAGGCAATAAAGATAGCGGTTGACGTGATCAATTTGTCTCCCTGCTATCCTTTGAATGGTGATGTTCCTGAAAGAGTATGGACTGGTAAAGATGTATCTTATGAGCACTTGAGAGTGTTTGGTTGCTGAGCTTTTGTTAACATTCCAAAGGATGAGAGGTCCAAGCTTGATAGTAAGTCAAGACAACGTATTTTTCTTGGCTATGGGCGTGATGAATTCGGGTATAGATTGTGGGATCCAGTCGACAAGAAAGCCATTCGAAGTCGTGATGTTATGTTTCTTGAAGACCAAACAATTGAAGACTTTGGCAAAGGTGATCAACCGGAGCCAAAATCTAGTGATCTCATTGACATAGATCCATCTCCTTCATCTTCAGTTGATGATGAAAATGGGGGAGATGTGCAGCCACCTATTAAAGATGTAGAGGATGATGCTAATCCTAATGAAGTTGAGCCAGAAATTGAGGAAGAGTATCCAACTCAAGAACTGCCACCACAACTTGAGTTGAGAAAATCTACAAGGGACCAGCAACCTTCGAGAAAGTATCCTTCCAATGAGTTTGTGTTGATTTCTGATCAAGGGGAGCCTGAGAGCTACCAAGAAACAATTGAGCACGCAAAGAAAGATGATTGGAAAAAGTCCATGGAAGAGGAGATGAATTCCTTACTTGAAAATCACACTTATGATTTAGTGAAGTTGCCTAAGGGGAGGAAAATTCTGAAAAATAAGTGGGTTTCAAAATTAAAGAGTGACAGCAAGAATCTGACGACAAAACACGTCTTGTTGTGAAAGGCTTTGGACAAAAGAAAGGCATTGACTTTGACGAGATTTTCTCGCCGGTTATGAAGAGTCTTCTATTCGGTTTGTACTTGGCATGGCTGCAAGTATGAACCTTGAAGTTGAGCAACTTGATGTGAAGACCGCATTTCTTCATGGTGATCTTTGAGAAGAAATTTACATGGAACAACCAGAAGGTTTTGTGGAAAAAGGGAAAGAGAAATTTGTTTGCAAATTAAAGAAAATTTTGTATGGTCTCAAGCAAGCTCCGCGGTAATGGTACAAAAAATTTGACTTTTTCATGATGAATAATGGTTTTTCTAAAACCACTTCGGACCATTGTGTGTTCGTGAAAAATTTCCCGGATGGTAAATTCATTATTCTTTTGTTTTATGTTGATGACATTTTAATTGTGGGTCAAGATTCTACCATGATTAACAAGTTGAAGTTAAAGTTGAGTAAATCTTTTTCTATGAAAGATTTGGGACCGGCAAAGCAAATACTTGGTATGAAAATTGTTCGTGATCGCAAAGAGGGGCTGATTTGGTTGTCTCAAGAAAGCTACATTGAGAAAGTTCTTGAGAGGTTCAATATGGATAAAGCAAAGCCGGTTGGTTGTCCACTTGTGGGTCACTTCAGGCGTAGTTCGAATTAATGTCCTACAAGTAAGAAAGACAAAGAAGAAATGTTGAAAATTCCTTATGCTTAAACAGTTGGTTCTTTGATGTACGCCCTAGTTTGTACAAGGCCGGATATTGCTCACGTCGTGGTGTGGTGAGTCGTTTTCTCTCTAATCCAGGTAAAGAACATTGGGCAGCGGTAAAATGGATTCTAAGATATCTTCGAGGGACTTCGAAGGTGTGTTTGTGTTTTGGGGATGGTAAGCCAATGCTTGATGGGTTCACAGATTCTAACATGGCTGGTGATGTTGATTCTAGGAAATCTACTTCGGGGTATTTGATGACTTTTGCAGGAGGAGCTGTGGCATGGCAATTTAAATTACAAAAATGTGTTGCTCTCTTAACTATCGAAACTGAATTTATTGCCATTACGAAAGCTTGTAAAGAAGAGTTATGGCTGAAGAAATTTTTGCAAGAGTTGGGTTTAAAGCAAGAAAAGTGTGTGCTTTATTGTGATAGTCAAAGTGCTATTCACTTGAGTAAAAAATCTACTTTTCATTCGAGATCAAAACACATTGATGCGAGATACCATTGGATTCGTTATATGTTAGATTCGAAATTGTTACAACTCAAAAAGGTTCACACAGATGATAATATTTCGGATATGTTGACTAAGACTTTGTCAAGAGACAAACATTTAAAGTGTCAAACTTTAGCGTGTATGGTTGATGTCTCTACCTAAGTCGATAGGGGGAGAATTGTTGGGGTATATCTCCTTATTGGAGTTTGAGACCCAATTGGTTTGTTAAATAATTTTAATTTGGTTTGGTTTAGGTATAATATATTTTTATATATTATATCTAATTTTGTGGAGACCCAATTCAATTTGGATACAACTAGGGTTTTAATAAAGCAAAACCAAGATTTAACAATATATATATATATATATTGTTCCGAAGTGCTGCATAAAGAGATACGGTTTTTCATTCATCTCGGTGACCGTGCGTGTTGATATTCCAATTTGGTGCTTGGTCAGTGCTTTGGATTTGATTTGTTGATGCTTTGCTATCTTTGATTCAAAGCTGATTTGGTTCGTTATTTTGGGTCTTCTATAACTTTGGTTTTGAAGATTTTGATTCATTTATTTGGTGAGATCTTTCCTCTTATTTATTTGTGATTATTTAGAATTCACCTAAGGGTAGTTTTGTGAGACTATTCGTGTCTCGTTTGTAATCGTTTGGAAACTTATTTGGTTGATAGTGGAATCAGATTTCGATTCCGTGGACGTATCTCACATTGAGGGAACCACGTAAAAATTCTTGTGTCACTTTTGATTTAATTTTTTTGTATTAATTTTATTCCCATTAATTGATTTACTTGTAGGAAATCATATATTTTCCCTAATAATAATATCATGTCCTGCAGATTAACCTGTGATATATCTATAAGAAGTGAATTTTTTAATCAAGAAGTTTAGCTTTTGTTGCTTACTGGGAAATTGAACATTTTCAATTTTTTTCACTGATGCTTCCAGCTTGGTTTAGTGATCGATCTTACGAATACTAGTCGTTACTATCATGCATCAGATTTGAAGAAAGAAGCTATTAAGCATGTTAAGGTGGGTAATGGCCAACTAAATGAGGTTTTCTTCCTTATGATTTTCCGACAATGGCAAATGAAGTCTTTCCAACCTTTAATGATTACATTTGTTATTCAGATTCAATGCAAGGGGCGCGATTCCGTACCTGATAATGATGCTGTAAATTACTTTGTTGAAGCTCTAGAAAATGAGATTTAATATTGGACAGACTTTTCAAAAGTTCACAATCATCCCTAGAGTTTATACGAATATATTGGTTTTCATATGATTGTATGGAATTATTATTTTAGATTGGAATATACTTAGTTTGTATGGAATTTGACATTAAGTTATTTATTTTTGGATGGTTGGAAGTGAAATGGATGCAAATTGCGAAATGAATGATAATATATGTATTGTTTTGTTTATACACATCGTATAGGTTGCACGAAATACATATAGGCTATGGACAAATTAAAATTTTTTTTTTTTATGTTTTTGGCCACTAAATAATTAGTAGCCAAAAAAGCAGTAAATATTTTTAGTGACTAAATAGTTAGTAGCTAAAAAAAAAATAAATAAAAAAACTTTTGGCTACTAAACTTTTAGTAGCCAAATAAAAAAATAGACTTTAGGCGATTAAATTTTTAGTAGCTAAAAAAAATTACACTTTAGGCGACTAAAACATTTAGTAGCTAAAAAAATAAGATGAACAAAAAAAAATTTTTGTGTAACGCCCTCAAAAAAATACATAAAACCCATCATTCATGACATGCATTTATATAAGAGAAATAACATCTTTCTATTCATCAGAGTAGTTCTTTACAAAAGTATTACATGTTGACATCAAAAGTAAATGTCTTATGGGCTTACAACCTTCTAAGCCAATACTTGGATACAAGAAGTGAGTGTTAACTCAAATACATATTAAGCCCTTGGCTTGAATTTACATGTAACACATCAAAAATAAAGTAAAACAACCAAAAGTCTGTCTGCCTTTAGCCTCCCAAGCTATGTCCTTGGAGGTGGCATACCATCTGTACCTGAAAATGATGTCCCATATAGGGTGAGCCACAACCTAGTAGAAATATACTAAACCAGCTATAAACAATGACTAAAAGATTAGCAATTGATAGATGGTCAACACTTATACATTCATTCATATCACATTTCAGTTCCATGACAATCATGTCCATGTTACATTTCATTTTCCTTTACTTAACAATTCATTTCATATACGTGGTTCAGAACCTGGCCAGATAACTCGACCGAGATTACATCTCTTATTCACAATACTTTCAATTTAAGTGAGATATCAACTCATAATAATCTTTTCACACATCATAATAGATATACATTTTGGTGTTGTATCAACCTCAAACAAAAACACTTCCATACTTCACAAATAATACACATTTTAGTACTGTATCAAAACATGTAAAAACACTTCCACATTTCACAAATGATACACATTTTAGTGTTGTATCAATGTCAACAAATTTGGTTTAGAGGTCTATCCCCCATCTTCCCCTAAACTGAGGAGTACATCCCCTATCTCCTCCCACACAACAAAATGTATATAAACACAGATCATATACATAATCAATCAATACATAAGGTTAATGTATTATTCCAACCGTCATATTCGATGACACATTCAATTAATTAGTTTTAGTTCACCTAATTCTCATGCATTGTCTACAACAATCAAGACTATTCTCCACCGATAGCCCAAAGCAGTTATTTCTAAATATAAAATAAATGCGTCAAAAGGATATACTATTCACATTTCAACTAGGCGAGCGATAAATTGATTCCAACTATACCATTTAATTTCATACCTTTCCAATTTGAATATTCTCAATTCAATTTCTCATTTCTCAAAATTAATTATACAAATTAATTTATCAAACTAATTAGGGCATTTTCCCATAACTCACATATCAACCCAAAGGTTTCATTTTCCTCAATAATCCAACATTAACTTCATTTCTCTATGTCATACATGAATATGGGTTATTATATACAAAACCCCCATCTTTTGTAAATTACACAAAGACCCAAACTTTTCCCGAAATTACACAACAACTCCCAACATATCAAAATGCCAAAACTTAAAGACAAAGCTCATAAGAAGGAGTAGGGTATCCCTACCTCGAAGTGAGAGCCCAAACGAAGATGAAGGCCAAAAACCAAAGTGCTCCAAATCCACAAATTTTCAGATTAGAACGAAGCCCTCAACACCCTCTATCTTTTATACAAAGAACTTAGGGTAGAAACTCACTATAGGTAGATCAATCCCTAGAGAGAATACAAGTGTAAAGAGAGAGAGAGTCGGATCTAGGGTTTGCAAAAGAAAGAAGATGAAAAAGTGATGTTCAGTCCTGCTGCTACCTACTGATATAACACAGGCTCGCTCGAGCGAAGGATTGAGCGACCAGACACAAAGAACTCTCGCTCGAGCGTAGAAAGCCTCGCTCGAGCCAACAATTCGAAGCTTCAGGTCTGCAACCCAGAAGCACGCTCGAGCGCAAGAATGCTCGCTCGAGCCAAGGAACCCAAAACATACACCTCGCTCGCTCGAGCGAAGGAAAGCTCGCTCGAGCCAAGAAACACAGCTCTCAGGTCAAAATGAGACGCAGACGCACGCTTGAGCGCAAGACTTCTCACTCGAGCCACCAGACACAAAACTCAACTCTCGCTCGAGCGAAGGAACCCTGGCTCGAGCGAAGGATCTAAAACACAAAGCTCGCTCGAGCGAAGGACCAAAATTCTGGACAGCAACCATTTGCTCCCAAACACAACCAACCTAAAACAAACCTGCCCATCACATCCTATAACTCAAATAACAGGTATTGAAGAACGGAAACAGGACATAAACAACTACTAACATCTACGGAACCAAGTCCGGATCACTGTACAACAAGGGGTGAAACCTGGGATCGCTATATTTTGGCTACTAAATAAATTAGTCGTGAAAAATAAATTTAGTTTTGGCGACTAAATCTTTTAGTTGCTGAAAATGCGATATAAGTTTTTTTTGAAAGCTTTTGGTGACTAAAAGATTGGTCGCCAATTTACCCAATCAACGATTAAAGTTTTTTTTGTCGCCAATACCTTTACTTTTGGCAACTACTTGTTTAGTCACCAATTTAGGACTTTCGGCGACTAAAATTTTTTCAGTCATCAATACCTTCGCCGACCGTCTTTCCACAACCATGTTGGTGACCAAACTATTTAGTCGGGAAAACCTTTTGGCGACTAAAAATATGACTTTTGGCGACTAAAAATTTAGTCGCCAAAAGTGCAATTTCTTGCAGTGAACATCACCCTAGCTATTCGTCATCAAATTAGTTGGCGCTCGGAAATGCATTTGCGAGTGACATTATTGAATCGAGGCTTAATTTGCTGTTGAAGAACACTGAAATTCTGGATTTAATATTAAATTTAGATGGTTTGAAAATTCTCTGTGATTTGGTCGACGAAGATGGTTTTGAATGCTTAACAAAGTTGAGCGTACGAGAATTGTATGATTTGGAATACCTCATCAATACGGCAGATGGGATTCCACAGAGTGCTTTCCATGTGTTAGAGATTCTGGATCTTCAGTGTCTATGGACTTTCAAAGGGATTACTAGTCATGAATGTCGACTACCAAACAAGGCTTTCAGTGCATTGAAAGTGTTGAGATTAGAGTACTTGCCTCAACTGAGAAATTTGTGGAAGGGTCCCACCCAACTTGTATGGCTCGGCAACGTGACGTCTGTAGCAGTGAGTTGTTGTCGTAAACTGGAAAGTATGTTCCCATTTTCCATGGCTAGAGATCTAGGGCAATTACACCACCTTTAGATAACTGATTGTCCTATGATGGAAGTAATTGTTTCGAGTGAAGGAGGAGAGCATGAAATTGCAGCAATAGCAACAGATAAAATCGAGTTTCCTAAACTAAATGAATTGTGTCTTGAAGACCTGCCAAGTTTTACTGCTATCTGCAAAGCTGTGAATGCAATTCAACTGCCACGACTGAGTTCCTTGATACTGTCAGATATGCCAAAGCTGAAGCGTCTTTGTCCTGCTTCAGATTCAAAGAGTAATTGTGATCCCATCATTCAACCCCTTTTCAACGACAAGGTATGCTTTTCTTATTTAAGAGCTTAATTAATTGCTAATTTGTGAACCACTTTTCATTTTATTTACTATTATATCTCTATTTCTGGTTTAATTTTTTTCATAATTGGATAATAAGATTGTGTGCGTTACTTTTAGGCCATTTTCAATATAAATTGTTTGTTTACATACATATTTGTGTTTATATATCTTTAGTCATACCAAATAAAAATAAATAAAATTTACTAACAGAATTTCTATGCATAAAATTCATACAAAATGATATGATAATTGCATTTTTACAATCTTGACTATAATAATGGGCGTTTTGCATTGAAGTGAGAGACTCGTATAAGGCTACATTTATTTAAAAAAATAAAAAATTAGCTAAATTACCAATTATTCTATCAACTGGTCATGTGTGTGGAAGCCTACTCACATGTGAGTAATTAGTGAATAGTTGGTAGTTTAGTTTATAACTGTAACAAAATTCTTTTAAAAGATCAAAAAAATGTTAAGAGCATAATAACAGGGAATGGATCTCTCTAGCAGTTCCACCCACTGTGAGCCCACTTCGTGCCCATTTTAACAATCAAAATAATTCATATTGTTGGAGTTGTTGAGTAGATTATTTATTACAAAAATTTAGATTGATCGGACACTAAGAGCCTTTGAAATGGGTCACATTTGTTTGAAAAATAATGGGTTAATTACATTTTTCACGTCTATAATTTGACCCAAATTTCATTTTAGTCCTTATAATTTCAATTTGAATTCACTTTTAAGTCTAGTTTTAATTAGAAAGCGAGAGGAAGGAAAGGATGAGAGAAATGAAAGAGAAGGTGCTACAGCGGTGCTGCGATGGAGGATAGCAGAGGAAGTGCTGCGACTGAGGATAACGGAGCGACTATTCTTGAGGATGGCAGAGGAAGTGCTATAGTGGTACTGCGACGGAGAACGGCAGAGTGGCGGTTCTTGAGGATGGTGACCTTGGCGACCTTGGCGAAGGTGGAGACGCACTGGATCTAGTCTGGATCGACATGGGTTTGAGATTAGGATTGAGAGAGAGAAAGAGAAAGAGAGAGAGAGAGAGAGAGAGAGAGAGAGAGACGGGTATATATAATATGAACAGATAGAGGGTATAATAGTAATTTCAATTTGGGGGAAAACGGGGACGGAGACGGGGATGGCCGGGGCTGGGGAACGCGTCACCGTCCCCTGGCTGAAACTTGTCGGGGATGCATTTTCAAATACCATCCCCAGCCCGTCGGAGATATTTTTCGAGAAAAAATT